CTCTGTAGCATGAAATCTCCAATTTACCAAGCAGGATGGCCTTTTCCAGGGACTGGTCCCTCCTGATAACACGTCCAAATTACGTGAGGTGAAGTCTCACCATCCTTACTTCTGAGGACTTGTACTTCCTCCAAGACGTTCGTTCTTCTAGCAGTCCACATACTTTCAATTTTCTTTGCCAATATCATAATTCAAATGCATCATTTCTGTGGTCTTCCTTACTCAATGTCCAGCTTTCACGTGTATATGAGGCGACTGAAAATATCATGGCTTGGGTCAGTCATGCCTTAGTCCTCAAAATGGTATTTCAGAAAAAAAAAAAATACAAAATACAAAAAATCAATGATATTTTTGCTTTTTAATACTTTAAAGAGGTCTTTTGCAGCAGATGTACCCAGTTCATTACTTCATTTGATTTCTTGATTGCTACTTCCATGAATGTTGATTATAGATCCAAGTAAAATGAAAAACAGTGTCAATCTTTTCTCCATTTATCATGATGTTGTTGATTGGTCCAGTTGTGAGGATTTTTGTTGTCTTTACATGGAGTTGTAATCCATACAAGGCTGCTGCCTTTGCTCTTCATCAACAAGTGCCTCAAATCCTCTTTGCTTCCAGCAAGCAAGGTTGTGTCACCTGTATATTGCAGGCTGTTAATGAACCTTCCTCCAATCCTGATGTCACGTTCTTCTTCATAGATTCCTACTTCTCAGATTACTTGCTCAGCATAAAGATAAATTTGTTGTTGCTGAATGCTGTTGAGTCGGTTCCAACTCATAGCAACCCTGTGTGGGCTTTCCGAGGAGCAGCTGATGGGTTTGAATTAGTAGGGTAAAAGGATTCAACCCTGACATACATCTTTCCTGATTTTAATCCACACGGTCTCCCCTTGTTCTGTTCAAACGATTGCCTCTTGGTGTCTTTACAGGTTTCCCATGAGCATTATCAATGGTACTGGAATTCCCAATCTCTGCAATATTATCCATGTTGTTGTTGTTGATAAGTGCCACTGACTCCTAGCAACCCTGTATAAGGTTTTCATAGAGCGGCTGGTAGGTTTAAATCTCCAACCTTGTGGCTAGCAGTACAGTGTTTATCCTATAATGCAATTGTTTGGTATGATCCACACAGTCAAATGCTTTTGCATATTCAATTAAAAAACACATCTTTCTGATACTGTCCACTTTCAGTCAAGATCCATCTGATGTCAGCACTGATATCCCTCATTCCATGTCCTCTTCTGAATCCGGCTTCAATTGCTGGCCGCTCCCTGTTGATGTACTGCTGCAAGCAGTTTAAAATGATCTTCAGCAGAAATTTACTTGCATGTGATATTAAATGATATTTTTCTGTTACATCTGCATTTTGTTGGGTCAGCATCCTTTGGAATGGGCATCTCTTCAGATTGACTGACCAGGTAGCTATCTTCCAAACTTCTTGGCATAAACAAGTGAGTGCTTCCAGTGCTGGGTCATATTGTTGAAACATTTCAGTTTGGATTCTGTCAATTCCTGGAGCTTGTTTATTGCCAATTCTTTCAGTGCAACTCAGACTTGTTTCTTCAACATCAAAAACAATACTTGTTTCTTGATCGTATGCTATTTCTTCAAATGGTTGAATGTTGACCAATTCTTTTAGTACAGAGATTCTGTTTATTACTTCCATTTTCTTTTGATGTTTCCTGTATCATTCAATATTTTGTCCATAGAATCCCCCAATATTATAACCCAAAGCTTGAGTTTGTTTGTTTGTTTGTTTTGTTTGTTCACTTCTCTCAGTTAAGAAATGCTGAGTATGTCCTCCCCTCTTGGCTTTCTAACTCCAGGCCTTTGCACATTATAATACTTTGAAATTTTCTGTTCAGGTCTTTTCCAGTCATCATTCCTTCCATTTGCATTAGCTGCTACTTTACATACAAGAGCAAGTTCTAGAGTTTCTTTTGACATTCATTTTGGTCCTTTGTTTCTTTCCTGTCTTTTTAATGACCTTTTACTTTCTTCATGTAGGTTGTTCTTAATGTCATCCTACAATTTGGTTATTGGCATTCAATATGTCAAATTGTTCTTGAGATGGTCTCTAACTTCAGGTGGGATTGGCTCTCATGGACTTGTTTTCATTTGTTTCAGCTCCGCCCTGAACTTGAATATGAGCAATGGTGAGTCTGTTCCACAGTCGATCCCAGGTTTTGTTTTGACTTGTGATTTTAAGCTTCTTCATCTTCATTTCCCAATTTGACTCCTGTGTAATCCATCTGATGAGGTCCACATGTATAGTTGCTGTTTATCTTGTTGAAAAGGATATTTACAGTGAAAAAATTGATCTTGCAAAACTCTATCATGCAATCTCCAGCTTTGTTTCTATCACTAATGCCACACTTTCCAACTACTGATTCTCTTCGCTTCCAACTTTGGCATTCCAATCACCTGGAATTATAAATGCATCGTGATTACATGGATGATCGATTTTAGACCGAAGAAATGGGTGGAATTCTTCAATTTCTTCATCGTTGGCTTTAGTGGTTAATGTATAAATTTGAATAATAGTTGTATTAAAATGGTCTTTCTTATAGGTGCATAGATATTATCTTATTACAGACAGCACTGTACTTCAAGATAGATCTTGAAATGGTCTATATGATAATGAATGCCACTCCATTCCTCTTGAAACTGTGCATTATCAGTATCCAATAAATACTGTTTAATAATTTTAACACATAAATGTAGGCAGGAACTCCAACCAGTACTCAGAAACATGTCTCTCCTGATTTTCCAATTCTGTTAACTGGATCCTTAAAACATTCCCTTTTTACTTTTTAGGATCCAGAGCTTGTAGGGTTTAAAAGAATTCCTGTTTGCAATTTAGGTATTGCTACGAATCAATATAAAATATGGGAATTATACAGAAAGGCAAAGAAGGGCATACTAGTTGAATTATACTGACCTGTGATTGGCTTTGGTGGTTTAATCTTCATTATAGAAACTGGAGGGCTCAACTTAGCATCTCCTTTTGGAACAATGTTCCCATCCTGCAGTAAGGAAGAGTTTCTAAGAACCATGAATGCATTTCCAGGACTGTTATCTACATACCCCCAACCCACTAGTCAGACAGACTGAATGGCTCTGCTTTGCAATAAAATGATGACCAACAACCTGGTGGTAATGGATTGAACTGTGCCACCCAAATTATGTGTTATAAATCTAGCCCCTATACCTGTGGTCGTAATTCCATGTGGAAATAAGACTTTCTTTGGATGTTACTGAGACCATGTCAGTGTAGGGTGTATCTTGAACTAATCATGTTTGAGACAGAAAAATAGCAGATTAGGCCTAGAAGCAAGGAAGCACAGAGGGTGAGAAGACAGAAGCTAGGCCACCTGAAGGAGCCAAAGCTGGAAAGGGACAAGGCTCTTTCCCCAAAGTTGACACAGAGAGAAAGCCTTCCCTTAGGGCTAGAGCTCTGGATGTGGGCTCAAAACACCCTCAAAACTGTGGGAATTTCTGTTAGTTAAAGCCAACCACTTGCTGCATTTCTATTATAGGACCAAGAAGTAACTACGACAACTAGAATTCTCTACATAGTCAAACCCTCATTTAAATTGTCTGGACACATGGGTTATAAGAGTATTAAAATATTTTCAGACATTCAAGGAATCAGAAAGTCTACTAACCAATAAATCTATATGAAAGTATTTCCAGAATGTATACTTGAGCAAAGCAAATCATAAACCCAAGAAGAAAACAGTGTTGCTAAATCGGTAAAACTTAAGTTATACCTAAATAAGTGTAATTGGTAAAACACACACTTACACACACAATTTGGAATTAAAATCTTAGATGATTTCAACACGAAAGGTGGCTAGAGCACAAAAAGAATGAGAAGGAAATTAAAATGTGGAAATGGTCTTGTTTTTTTGAAGAGAATATAAATATTGGTTAACACTAGATGATGATAGAAAAAAAAAATTAAACTTCTGATTCTGGTCAAGAAGCAATAACAGTGACAAGATTAACCTTCCATGTTAAACAACTAAGAAATGGTCAAAGCCCCTGAGACAACGGTTTCCAGATTGTTAATGAATACATGGTGCAGGTCAGTCGTTCCTGAAAGAGAGAAAGAGGAGCCCTACAAAATTCAAGTGGAGCCCAGTAGTTTGTGAAAGGTTGGGCTTTCAGGGCAGAATACCAAAGAGTAGCAATATGAACACACACATACAGAGAGAGAGAGAGAGATCTGGAGATCTGCAAAAGACTTCCCTCTAGTCTTGACAGCAGAAGAGCCACCTGAAAGGAACTGGCTGAATGAACTATCATTTAAGATCACCCAGAGCCAGGCATAACTTCTGTTTCCACCAGCCAAAGTAGAAAAACCTCACAATACGTGGGGCGCTGGGGAGAACACTCGTTAGGGTGGTGCTTCAGTAGTGATGCCAAAAGAGCCCTAGATAACCAGCTGCTCTAGTTTCACCTAACATAGTCAAAAGTGAGGTTTGAAAGATCAGACTGTTTCCAAGTAAATTAACTGCATCCTAGAACAAAGCTCAAGAATGTATTTTTGAAAATACATTGCTGTCCAGTATCCAACAACGTAAAATTTATAATGTTTGGCAGCTAATACAAAATTAGCTGGCATGCAGAAGAGGAGAAAAAAAAAAAAAAATCATTCAAAGTGACTTAGCCCATCAGGGAAAACAGCCTTCTAAGACTGAAACGCAAAGGGAACCCATGAACAGTACAGCATGCTCACGGATGATCACCTGAGGCTACGTGTGAGTGGAAATGGGGGAAATGCAGCAATGAAGACATGGGCTGAGTTTAGCCATGTTCCATTGACATCCATTGATCTAGAGATGAGAGCGCAAAGAGGAAGGTCTGGCTGGTCTGAAGTTTAGGAAGATATGGGAACTCCTGAGCCCATGGGCACTGACCTAGCCCCCAGGGGCTAGGGCTGAGAATGAAGTGACCAGCTGGTCTGAAGTGCAGAGAAGTGTGCATAAATGCCCAAACATGAAGCTGGCACCCATCTGACTTAGCTTGGATGGCTAGCTGATCAGAACTCAAACCGAGAAAGATAAACCTATTTGATACTGAGAACAAGTGCAAATTGCTATAATTTGATGAACCAGACTTTTGCCTATGAATGCAGTGACTCAAAATTCCTTGGAAACCCTATACAGGGTCGTTATAAGTCAGAACTGACTCAATGGCACTTAACAACAACAACATATCCTGGTGTGGCACTATAGGATAAACAAAGGACTGCTAAGCACAAGGTCAGTGGTACAGACCCACCAGTTACTCTTCAGAAACCCTATTAAGGGGTAGTGTAGTGGTTGTGAATTGGGCTGCAAACCTCAAGGTCAGCAGTTTGAAACTACCAGCTGTTCCGCGGGACAAAGATGAGGCTTTCTGCTCCCATAAAAGCTTACAGCCTTGGAAGCCCTGTACAGGGTCGCTATGAGTCGGCACATAACCACCACCACCACCACCATGAATTAGAAGGAGTCCTGGTGTGGCGCTGTGGGTTAATGCGCCAGACTGTAAAGCCGTTTGAACTGCAAGGTCAGCAGTTCAAGCTCACCAGCTGCTCCTTGGAAACTCTATACAGGGTGGCTATGGGTCAGAACCTACTCGACAGGGCTGAACAACAACAACATGAATTAGAACCGACTGGGCAGCCCTTACCACCATCAACAACAACATTAAAACTAAAAACGCACATACCTTGAGAGACACTCACTCAGGTATACAAAGAAGAATACAGAGACATTTTCACTGCATCACGTAAGAGTTCCAAACTGAAAACCCCTTCAATATTACTCACAGATTTATAAACCAACTATGGTACATGTATAATACAGACTACAGTGTAGTGGATTCAAAGGAGGAGATGAGTCTATTTGACATAGAAAAACCTTAGTGACAAATGGATGAGTTTAAAAATAAAAGTTTTAAAGAAAAAGATATAAAATATATACTACTTATATGATAACAATTTATCACAACATTGTATATTTCAAAATAAAGTAACATGAGAGTATAGATACATACTCAAAATCTTAAAAACACATATCAAACTAATAATGGGCATTACTTCTAAGGAGGGCTACTTTATCCGAATGACCTGGATTTTCTATATTTTACATATTACAGGTATAATTTAATGCATTTAAAACTGTCAGTTAGAAAGAGAGAAAGTTCATCTTGAAAGTTCACCACGATTTTACTCACAAACCCCCATCCTGAGAACTGAGGATGAGAAGGTGGGTTCATTCTCTAGTATTCCAACACAAAGAAAACCCTCCAGGTCACTTGGGACAGTGGACTGGAGGACAGTGTCTCATGGAACTTGAAGTACATACAGTTCGGAGACCATACAAATACAGTTTGATACAATCTGGGGAAATTGTGACAGAGGGAACGTCAGAACAAAAAGATACAGAGAGCTTAAGTGGTTGGGGCTTACTTTTGCCAAATTTACAAAAAACACATGATCATGTACACACATTCCCAGGGCCTTGAAAGAAGCCCTCCAAGCCATGTTGTTGTTGTTGTTATGTGCTGTGGAGTTGGTTCCGACTCATAGTGACCCTGTACAGGGTTTCCGAGGCTGTAAATCTTTATGGGAGCAGAACACCTCATCTTTCTCCCACGGAACAGCTGGTAGTTTTGAACTGCTGACCTTGCGGTTCACAGCCCAATTTTAACCACTACGATACCAGAGCTCCTTTCCAAGCCATGAGGGATTCTAAAATTTAAGCTCCCTTGTTAGTTCCATTGAGTTGACTCAGAGTAGAACTGCTTCACAGGGAGTAGCGCTATAGGATAAGCACTGGGCCTCAAGTTTGGTTTGAACTGTAAGGTCGGTGGTTTAAACTCACCAGCTGCTCCTCGGAAACTCTGTACAGGTCACTGTGAATCAGAAGCAACTCGATGGCACTTCACAACAACAACCTTAGTGAAAGCCAATCACCAGGCCTTTTCTTCTGTAGTACTGCTGGGTAGGTTTGAGCCATCAACCTGTAGGTTAGTAGTCAAGCTGAAACTATTTCTTAGCTTCATACAAAACCTACCTTTGGGCAAGTGATCTGGATCAATTGTCAACAAGGATAGGGGTCATCATCAATGAACATGAGACATAAGACATGCCATCGAGAATCTGCATGTAGTACCCCGGGAGCATTTTACCAAGTGATTTGATCTTTGAAGTAAAGTTCAAGTCAAAATCAACATCCCCAGAATGAAACTGAAATCTCTCTGGCATCATTCTTTAACATTTCTTACCATTTCTAAAGTTTCTGCAGCTATGGGATCGGTATTGTTCTGAGGAGAAAAATGAGAAATTAATTCACAACAGGGTTTCCGTATGTTTGTCCCCTTTTCCCTTTAATCTTCTGAGACGCTCTTCCTTCCCTCAATTACTCTTGTGAGACAGTGAATCCATGCAGTTAAAATGGAGGACCCAGGCAGACCCCAGGCCTATGGGATTTGAATACATGATCTTGATACTCTGGGAGCTTAAAAGGTAGTGGAGGAAAACAAGAAGCAGTAAATGATAATAAGAGGAACTATGAAGAAAAA